GGGAGGGAGGGCGAGGAGGAGAAACGGCGCTTTGTGCGCTGCCAGCGGCGATGGTTTCCTACCAGATGTTTGCAGCAGCCTTTCGGGGTTGGGAATTGGCTATAAAAGTCCAGGCTGAAAACTAGAGGCGGACGTCCGTCCTGGGGGGACTGGCGCCGGAGGGCCGTGCCGGTGCCCGCTGGGGCCGCGCTTGGAGCTGCCCCTGAAGAGCAGCGCAAAGCCGTGGTGCGGTGGCTTCTGCGACTCCCTCCAGAAAACATCAGCCTCCTCGCATAGCTCCTTGTCAGGGGCCGCACCACTTACAAAACGCAGGGCTGCTAGAACAGTTTGCATTACGTGCGTTAGAGAGCAAAGAGAGTCGTTTTCAGAGCGAGCAACCCACTGCAAAACCTTTCAAGGTTAAAAGAACGCAAGGAAGGGAATGAAATTTTACGGAAAAAAGAAAAATCTGCCTTTAGGAGACCTGGAGTTTACACATGCACAAATTGTACTTTCCACGCAGAAGGAGCGCGTTACAATCATCTGACAGCCGAGAAAATGATCACGTTAGCCGCTCTGCATATAACTCCTCACTATTCTAAAAAGTGTGTTAAGCCCTTAGCATGGAAAAATGAAACCAGTTGCAAACACGTCCTTTGCAAAGACTAGAAGGACGTTACTGTAACATTGTTTCACTGTCCAAGAATGACAAATAATGATGGAAGAAGCATGAACATACTTGTTTACATTGGCTATTATTATGCCAAAAATAGTGTCAAAATAAAATTTCTTCCACTGGTGCATTCATGAGACAGAAATACAAACACGCTGAAGGGCTAAAACCTGTGGCAGCAAAGCGAGTGGCAGATATGATTTAAATGGAGATTTTAGTGAGGTAAAGTACAAAAGAATTAAAGCTGCTGTAAAGCGGGTTATTTTAATCAAGTTGCTAATTGACAGGGTGGTTTTTATTATTATTTACGCTCTTTAACTGCACTTGAACAACGTGTTTGTCTTCCTATCAGATTGAACGTAGAGATTCACTTTCACCCTTCACATCTCAAAATGACTGAATTGTGTTCCTGTCAGCCTCAGCACCGCCTACCGTCCACCCTCCGATAAAAGCCCTGGGGCAAATAAGCTTGTGTTACGGCCACCAAAATGTCCTGTTAGAGAACAGCAAAACACCAGCTAAGGAATGCAACATTAATTGGAGAAAAACATCCACCGATCTCCATAGAGCTTTTTCTCCGAGGGTCCGTAACGTTCCTCCCCCACAGCCCCAATTCGTTTAGTGTAGCTATGCAACAACAGCACAGATAAATCCAGTATTTGTCTGCTTTTAATAGTCACGATAGGCAGTACAATCTTAACTGATTTTATAGATGTCATGTCTACGCTGTTGTTTGAAATAAAGAACAAGGCACTTTAAGCATTCAGGAGGTTATTACAGAATTGCTGTGTGTTGAGTAGAATGCCATGCATATTAATCGTGTATGGAAATGTACGCTTTTCTAAGTTTAAGTCATGTGAAAAGATGGGGGGGGGGAAGGACATTGGCATGTTGCAGAGCAGTTGGTATGAGCAAAATACAGAGAAATGCAATTGACCTAAGCTTGAAAAAAAATCTAAATCATTTCTCCAGTTAAACAAAACCCCCAACTTTTTCCTCTGGAATGTTTCTGGAAGATGTTTCATTGGCTGCAACCAAAAGCCGCAAAAAGTACAGCGTGCAGTAAGTGTTCACATTTGTCACCAGAAACAATCTATGCATAATTAATTACGGTAACATGTCACACGCACTGATAGGATGCAGATGAACAGCCTTTCAAGGGTAATACATGCAAATGTACTTTCAATATGCACATTTGCCTAATGATCTCCAATTAATAGCATCATTTAAAATAGCCCTGTCCTCAGGAAACGGCAAGCAAACAGTGACTTCTTAGTCTGTCAGGGCTCTGTGAGCTGCCCGCCTTGTAGCAGTGTCCTGTCGTCAGAGAAGAAAGTTCCCGTTGATTGTATATGTTTATTTGTCTTTACGTTTCACACTTAGATCTGCCTACATCTGGAGCCTACAGCGCTCTGCTACTGAGCCTGCCCATTGATGTACGCAGCCGTATTTTCAAATAGGCACTCTGAAGAGTTGCTTGGTACTCTAATTCAAAGGGACTTTCAGGACGTCTCAGCCTTCGCCGACACCTTGTTGTGGCAGTAACTCTCACCTAGCTGTATCACGTTGTCCACACAGACTGCTTACAGCAACGCATTCCTCTCTCCTTCAGCGTCTGCCCTTAATAATCTGCGCACACTCACCCCAGCCTCTCTTTCTCAGCCTTTACCCTTGCAGCATTTTTTTATTCCTACTTTAACTCTGCAAAACAGAGAGGAGAATAGTCGGGGGGGATGTCTTTTATACCAGCGGGAGAAGCACAGAGGGAGAGGGCTGAGGGATTTTGTGACCGAACTCCGAGCTCCGCAACCGCAATGTGAAAATGCCCGTTTCATCCCCCCCTAAGCGCCTTTGCAAAACGCTCGCTGCGAGGCCGGGCTCGGCATCTACTGTACAGTATTTACTACCCTCAGCTGTGCCGGGCGCAGCCACACCTCCCTCCCCACATTGGCTCTCAACGCGGAAGGCCCGAGCAGCCGCTCCGCTCCCATTTGTACCAGTGAGAGCGTCTCGGGGCCTGATGGACATGCCGGTCGCCTCCAATGGCAGCGAGCACAGGCTGGATTTGGCAGCTCCTGCGCCTGCGGTATAAAAGCCGGCACGGGCAGGCGAGCGCTTCATTCTGCGCTCCGGCAGCTGCGAGGCAGAGGGAAGGCAGGCAGGCAGGCAGGCGAGCGGGCGGAGAGCGAGCTCCCACAGTGTTTCTGTGCGCTGGAAAC